TCGAGCATCATGTTGAAGTTCCTCGACTTGCTGTTTCAATTGTGGAATCGTTAGGGGTATAGAGGAGGAAGAAGAATTATGCTCTTGGGCTTCTTGTAAAGCTGCTGGACTCGGAGTAATGGTAGTTTCTCATAACTTGTTAAGAACAATCTCAGGACAATAGGGAATCAGTCCAGTAGCACGAAAAGTGGACTTGATTGTAGAGGACTTGAAGGTTTGCTGACGAATTGAATCAATGGTATCCAAAAATTCAGTTTTATCAAACTCGCCACAACCTGTCCGCGTTGCTGCCTCAACAGCCTCAGCATGAAAATACTTATATGGCTGAAAAACTACCACATCTAAAGGTTGCAGTAGGTGACTTGTATGTGGTGGCAAGCAAAACACAACAATTTTGTGTCGATCACAATAGTCAACAAACTGTTTAGTGCAATGCGAGCCAAACCCGTCAAGAAGTAGTAATCGGTATTGACTCACTTGCTGCTGCGCAGAAAACTTCTCAAAGTGGACAAGCCAGTCGATTGTCAAGCTGTCATTGCTGTAACCTTTCTCCAAGGTACCAACAAGGTAATCGTTTGGAATTTTCGTTGTAGTATACCATGGCTCTTGGTGGATGACACCAGGAATTATTACCATGGGTGGAGGAACAACTCCATCACCACTGATCGTTTCACACAACGATACAAGTTCTCGATTTGTAGAACTAGCGAGATATGACTGCCGAGTTGGATCCCGTGTAATGATCCATTGATCCCGTCCAACTCCAATATGGAATCCAGTTTTGTCAAAGTTATATCGATCTCCTACTTTGATATCATACTCTATGCAAACAACTCGGTAATTTTCAAACCACTCTCGGATATCGTTAGGTTGATGAGCATTTTTACGGTCTGCATTAATCGTACGCTGCTTCCGAATATGATAGGTAAGATATCGACTGAGAAATCGTTGGGCCCAATGCTTGCCGACAACAGGTGAAGGAGTAGGACCAGGATGTATATTTTGCAGAATTGCATTTGCACAACCAGTCAGCATTGGGAGTCGTGCACTCGTACTGACATTATCAAGACGATCAAGATATTGGCATACCGCAAGCTCCTGGTCCTCTGAAAGTATCTTATTCGTACCAGGTCAGTCTTGCTTGGAGGGGTGACCTTTCCATCATGCCCTTAGGCAGGAAACAGGTACTTCAAATAGCTGGGCAGTCGCTGCAATATTGTGGATATCCTTTTCAGAGGCATGGAGAGAAGCGAGAGCAGCTTGGATACGGATTTCGATATCATTATAAGGTTCCACTCTCTGACTGGGAAGAATAAAGGACGGTAGAGGAGGCATTCTATATCCCTGTAAGAACTGTGATGATATGAGAGATGAAGATGAGGATAAAAACAGATCACTTAGATGAGGATATAATAGAAATACTAATTAGAAATAGAGTTTAAAAGAAAAATGCAGCAGATGGTAAAATTAATCTATACTATGTAAATTAATTTACTTTTAAGAGTAACGTTACATTATATTAAAAATAAATTTATGTTATAATACAAAGTAAGGTTGAGCCATACAGTGAGGTTGAGCCACAAAGTGAGGTTGAGCCACAAAGTGATGTTGAGCCGGGAAGTGATGTTGAGCTGGCAGGCACTCTTTAGAGTGCCCCCGGTTGTGAGCTTGCGAACGTGCGGGGGTTGTGGCGGCCAGCCACAACCTTGGCACGAGTACCTAGTTCTGTAGGAGGGCGAGTGCGAGTGTACATTTGTGGAGCGTCGGCAAGCCTAAATCACCGCGAGGGTTTGCCCTCTCGTGGTGTCTTCCTATCGTACTCATATCTTTAGATATCTAGCCGCCTTCCATAGACTAGATAACTCACTTCTAGATGATACACCTTCGAATAGACCTCACAACTGTGCAAGTCTACGACCACCACTAACCAGATCATACTCGCTCAACATTGCCAGAGCCAACGTTACTAGACATGGCCCCTATTCGTTACGCCGAGGCCCGTCTGTTGCCGGATCCGGTTGGGATTGGTTTCTTGGATCTACTCGAGTACTGGTTTAACAATGTTAGTTTCCATCCCATGATTATGAGCTCAACTATTATAATACCATGTCGATCTATTCACCCGGACGCTGGGAACCACTACGTACCGCAATTTCCCGCTCTATGGCAAGGCTCATCTCCAAAACACATACGGTACGTAACAGAGTCTGAGCCATGACTGCCATCCGCGAACCGGAAAACTTGTACTATGAGTATATGGGGTGGAATGATAGGTTGAAAAAGAGCAAACTTATTGAGAGTTGGGGAGGTGTAGGATTTTTGGTATCTTCAAAGAGAGCTGCGGTAGGCAGTCGAGGGCAGTATGCCTCCATATTGATTGCTATCACAGATACAGTAGGGGTCTACAATAGCGAGATGCATGCCCGAGACCTTATCGGCCGTGCCACCAAAGCTATCCATGCGATCGGTCATAATGCACCCTCTGTCATACGGGCCGGACTGTATCTAGTTGGCCGATACCGGTGATTTGTTTGCTAAACAGCATTACTCATCTGGCAGCTGGCTAAGGTGAAACTTGAGATAACAGCCTGATCCCAATGCGGGCGGCTCAAAATAGTGCCACAATGACACACCAATATACGCTCTTGTGCCAATCATGCGGCCCGGTAAGATCCCTTGGCCAATATCAGCCTCGGTCAGACAGCTCAATATGCTATGGCACTAGAACCGGTACACGATTGCAGGTGTGCCGTAGAGCGATACCAATAGATCCGTCACGTGAAGAATGATAAGATTTATCACATTTGATAACGGCGTCCTGGCAGGTTGTAAAGTACGAGTACGGTGCGGTATCATACGAGTGCAGATTGCACAAATCCCACTTGGTTAGTGTTGCGATGCTGCTTTTTAATGGTCCGATCCTCCACACATGAGCGGGGCAGGGGTGCCCCCCCCCTGACTTACGGAGTAACCCCCGGCAAGGCTTGACGGGGGAGGTCCGGGGGGGGGGGGGCAGAATTCAAAGGAAAAGTCCGTCGAGGGGGCTGTGGCTAGCTCAGATTGGGTTAAAGGTGTGCGGTACTCGAGGAGCGGGGCAATGAAGGAGAGGTTGCATCTAACAACGATCGAAGGAGCCGGGATTCATTTTTCGAACCCGGGGCTCTAAAGTTACAACGTAGTGGTACGCCTTGTAAAAAAAAAAAAAGCAATTATCGTGCAGTCGAATCTCATGGTTATCTGGACACATTAGACTAATGCTGAGGCTCTCTAAAAGTACAAAGCATTGGCACCAAGACCCGAATATCCGGAAATCCACTAGCACTCATCGCATCCCCCAGCGACAAGGGGCATGGGTTCAAATTCGCCAAAAGGATTCCCGCATGAGCTGGGATTTCTGGTAATTCACCATGCTTCTCCTACCACCTCTGCCCCAAATGCCGTGTAAAGAATCCCTCTCGTGAATCCACATTTTCAGAGGGCCCTATTCAACCCCCCTTCTAACCCTCTTCGCTCCATGGCCGAAGGCCTTCCCCGCAATATTCTGTCGGGTGCTAGTACCTCTTAGAGGAAAGGTTGCTACCAAACGAGGCGGTGGTAAAATGAGCAGAGGAGGATGGGGCTTCACTGTGGGGAGTTTGTTTTTCTTCACACCCACTTAATATCATCAATGCAACCTGATACCTCCATAGATCACTGCACTCATCTCCGCGATTCCACACATGTATTCGAGTACAAGTCCCTTCAGATGCTTAATAAGTAATAACAAAGGAAAGACCTATTTCTGGAATCATCCTCAAACCTTTAGACAAATCTATCATGCTTCCAAACTATCAAATATACTCTCATGACTTCCAGAAACAGCATTGACCTTCCACCATCCTTCATGCACCCCCCACGCTCAAGATCTATTATACATCGATCCTAATAGTACCAGTAGAGTGGTCGGTGGTAAGTGCACCGCATCAACCGACTCTAGCCGCTAAGAAAAAGTCGGTCAGCGCGAGGCCTTTCCATCCATAGTGCGTACGCTGGCAATCTTCCAGCTCTTAACCCGATGTATGGGTTCCCATAGAATCAGTATCCTGTGTGGGGAACGAACGTGCTTGGCGCCCTTTTAGACGTCAGCTTCGCATTTACATTCTACAGTTAACTACCTACGGTAAGCGAATAATGATATGTTCACCTTTGCGGAAACAATTTCAAGACCCCGGAACTACCGGCACTGTGCGGTACACTTTACCTGAAATGGCGACTGCGACATACTTGTACAGCAGAAAATCGACCTGTGTAAGGTTGAGAATTCGAAGGTGACGGGATGGGAGCCTCCGGGGGAATCTTGAGGGGAGTAAGAAGTAGCCTTGGCATATTTTCATACCGGCTGGATTTTGTGGAGATTTAACTATCATTTCCCCCTCGGTTCAAAATTGAAAGCTTCCGAGGTGCAACTCGGAAACTTTTGTGCAGTGGGCGGCCAACTCCAGGGCTTCGTGCCATACAACCTCAACAGTTCAGACCTTACCTCTGAGTACCGCATCCGCTAGAATAATCGAACCTCGCGCTAACAAGTTACGTAAGGCCTCCAAAATTCTCTCTCCGATGGTGGGGGTGGAGCTTACTCGTATTATATTTGGAGTATGATTTGTGTTGCCGTAAGCCAACTGCTTGATATTTACCGACGCCCTGGTTATCGCCCACAGCTCTTGTGTGTGCTAGCCCGAAGTAGCAAGTATGATCGCTACGATGCAGGAGCATAGTGTGCTGGTATTACAAAATGCAAGGCTACCGCTTGGATGAGGTTGGGAGGTTGTTGTCGACTTATCTCCTCATGTACCGGTATACTGCGGGGTAACGAGACATGCACCAAATCCCAGCCAGTATCCGAACTGGGACCAAAATCCCACCAACTTCCGCGACATTTCCTAGACTACCCGAGAGCTGTCCACGAGGTTAGGGTACAGTATTGTTCGGTTTTCTCCGCATCCTTCCCCACCCGGGCCCCTATAAGACTTCTCATTTCTGGAGAGAGAACTTCAACCTTCCTTACTGCCCCCCAGACGCTGTTTCCCTAATACCCATTTAGTACCCTTGTGCAGGATCTTGAGGCTTCACGGAATTCCGATAGCCCGAGCTAGGATTACATCCCATAGCGACTTCAGAACTACAGAATTATACATCTCCATATCCAAGGTTGGTCCTTGGCTACTGGTTACACCATATCTCGCCTTATTAACCCAGTGCAGAGCTAGCGAAAAGACTTTGAACTATCATACCTCGAGTCGCGACAAATAGGCTACCTTTCCCGCTTCAAATACGCTGGCGACATCTTGCTACTTTCCTCCACTGTCAGACCTTCGAAAACGGTCCTAGTGTAAACTAAATACTCGAACACTTGATGGATCGGTGGGCTCCCCTTCCCTTCAACGTCCGTTATTTCAAGAATAATAAGCAGCACCTAATAACCTTCACAGAATGGCCGATATTAGCGGAAACTTCAGCGGGAATTCAGGGGATCATAATGTTTACGGCAGCAATTATAATAATAATAACATAATCACCGGAAACTCGAGCAGTATTACCAATATCGGACCGATATATCAAGGATGTGCATTTAGAACCGGGGACAGAGGTATTATCATCTTTCCCGCAAGGCTCCCGGCAAAGATCTAATGTGCTATTGCAACTAGAAGAAGCTTATAGGCCTTACCGGATAATTCCCTATTGCAGAAACAGCAAGTTCACTGGCCGGAAACATCTAATCGAGGCGGTAAAGAGGAATTCCCAGGGTAGTGGCCACCGCCGAATCGCACTTCACGGATTAGGTGGTTCCGGGTATGTATTCAGTATTATTATCAGTATTCCTGGAGTTTACTAAAGTTGCTTAGAAAAACTCAGATTGCCCTCGAATACGTTTATCAGCGCGCAAGCGAGAGCGATTGTGATGTCTTCTGGGTGCACGGGAGTGGAGTGCCGGAATTTAGTGAGGGCTTTAGAGCTATTGCGCAGCATGTTCGAATCCCCGTAGCCAGCGCCAAGACGGACCAAGAGGGATTCCTATTGAATGTGAAGAGGTGGTTTGAAGGCCCGGCCAGTGGTGATTGGATACTGGTTATTGACAACGCCGACAACGAGGAGGACTTTATCGGTAACGGCGGTCGCATCTCCAAATTCGTACCGCAAGGCCAAAGGGGTACTTTAATTTTCACCACCCGATCACTCCGGGTTGTATCTTGGCAAAACTGCGAAAGGATCGAGGTCGGAAAGATGGAGGAGGATGAAGCCCAGGCGTTGTTTTCGAAACGCTTGGGTAACTGGAACACTACGGGAGATGAAGAAAAGGAGGCAATCACAATGATCCTGGAATCCGTGCACCACATTCCTCTAGCTATCGTAGGAGCGGCGGCCTTCATGAGTGAAACCCAGACACTGCCATCCACTTACTGGAAAATTTTCCGGGGAAGCGACGAACAAGCGAGAAGACTACTCTCACAGCCATTTTGTGACATCCAGCGAGAGGCTGATATGACCGAAAGCATCCTTGCCACCTACTTTGTCACCTTTGACCGAATCACACTGCAGATGCCCCGAGCGGCGGAGCTTCTGCGTCTAATCACGTTTCTCGATCGTCAGAACATACCGGAGGAGCTACTAAGTCAATCTGGTTTGGAAGGGGCGGATGATCCAATCGAGTTTCGTCAGGCCATTGGAAAACTATTAGGATTTTCTCTAGTTACAACCGTCAAATGTGGGGACAAGACTTTCTACGAGCTCCACCGCTTGGTCCAACTGTCTTTGCAAGTGTATTTACCAACGGACGAGTTGAATCGATGGAGGGCCACCGCGCTGGGGGTAGTTTCCAGCTTGTTCCCTCGGCATTGGAATTCGTGGAGAGATGTTAGTTCTGCATACATTCCACATGTATTAGTAGTAACCAAACATTCAACGGATCCCATTGCTGAAGAACTTTGCTTTCGCCTGGGACAGTACTTTCAAGATATGGGTTTCTACAATGATGCCGAAATCCAATTGTGTCGGTGTATTACGCTGCGGGAAGAGAGTAGAGAGTATGATTGGGATGCGGAAGGCCGGAGCAGGGTTATGCTCCTGGGGGCGGTAAGCATATACCAAGGAAAGGCAGATGTGGCCGAAAAGATACTTCGGAATTTATTAGAGGATATTGAGGGATCATTGGGCCCCGATACCCCCATCGTCCTGAAGGCCATGGACTGGCTGGCTCTGGCGCTGCGATTCCGGGGAAAGTATGATGAGTCAGAGGCAATGAGTCGGTGTGCACTAGAGGGGCGTGAGAAGATCGGTGGACCAGAGCACCCAGACACCGTAACCGGCATCAGCAACCTAGCTATTGTTCTGCAAGACCAAGGAAAGTACGATGAATCAGAGACGATGAATCGGCGTGCACTGGAGGCGGGTGAGAGGATTCTTGGACCAGACCACCCAGACACCCTAGCAAGCGTCAGCAACCTAGCTCTTATCCTCCACTCCCAAGGCAAGTACGATGAATCAGAGACGATGAATCGGCGTGGCCTAGAGGGGCGTGAGAAGATTCTTGGACCAGACCACCCAGACACCCTAGCAAGTGTCAACAACCTGGGTATGGCGCTTCAAGGCCAAGGAAAGTACGACGAAGCAGAGACAATGAAGCGGCGTGCCCTGGAAGGATATGAGAAGATTCTTGAACCAGACCACCCACTCACGTTAACAAGTACCCACAACCTAGCTTCGGTACTACGATGCCGAGGAAAATACATTGAATCAGAGACGATGTATCGGCGTGCACTAGAGGGGTTTGAGAAGCTTCTGGGACCAGACCACCGTGACACCTTATTAGCTCTCAATAACCTTGCTTTTGCGCTGCAAGACCAAGGAAAGTACATTGAATCAGAGACGATGATTCGGCGTGCACTGGAGGGGAATGAGAAGATTCTTGGGCCAGACCACCCACACACCCTAGCAATTGCCAAAACCCTAGCTTCTGTTCTACAAGACCAAGGAAAGTACATTGAATCAGAGACAATAAATAGGCATGCCCTGAAGAGGCTCGAGAGGATTCTTGGACGAGATCACCCACACACCCTGTCAAGTGTCAATAACCTGGCTTCTGTGCTACAAGACCAAGGAAAGTATATTGAATCAGAGACGATGTATCGGTGTGCACTGGAGGGGCTCGAGAAGATTCTTGGACGAGACCACCCACACACCCTGTCAAGTGTCAATAACCTGGCTTCTGTGCTGCGAAACCTAGGAAAGTTCGCTGAATCAGAGACGATGCATCGGCGTGCACTAGAGGGGCATGAGAAGATTCTCGGACCAGACCACCCACACACCCTAATAAGTGTTAGCAACCTTGCTTTGGTGTCGCACTACCAAGGAAAGTACATTGAATCAGAGACGATGAATCAGCGTGTACTGAAGGTCCGTCGGATGATTCTTGGACGAGACCGCCCAAGAACCTCGTCAAGTGCCAACAGCCTGGCGACACTGCCGCGATTACAAGGATAACGTGACGATCCAGATACGGGAGCGTGGCCTGCACGCCAGACACTTACAAGAAACCCCGAGTATAAGCGGCCACCATTTTTTCGCCGTGTTGTCCATTATTTCCGGAGGAGAGCAGTTCTCCGGAAGGGCCACAGACCAGCAAAGCGATCCGCCACATTGCAGGTTGTTTGTCTCGACGAGAGTTGGCAGGAGTGGGCTACTAGATTCCACGATATGAAACCCCTTTTGAATCTACGGGGGGGAATGGCAGACCGTTCAGAACCAGTGGAGATCCCCAGCTACGGCCATGGATGGCAGGCTCTTGAAGTGTAGTGGGGGAAGTGTTGGGCTTTTTGTTTTTCTTTTGCGTCGTATTTCTATTGTTTCCTTTCACTTTTTCCGATGTCATAGCTCATGGCCAATCTGAAATGATGTAAATTATGCCTTCTCACACGATTAACCCTTTGCAGTCACTCCTTTATCACCCGGAATCACAATATGTTACTCGCTTGTTACCATTTACCTAGGTATTATAAATGCCAATACATATTCCGCACCATCCACTAGCCTCCCCCTGTCCTGGCAGATTTCCCGCCAGATTCCCCAGCGCCCTGCATAGCCCCATAGTCTGAGGCATTAAAAGAACCTCTAGTACACCTGTCGGCCGTGATGCCATATCCTCCCTAGGCCAGACGAACCATGAATCACCACCCGCCCACCTCTTCCCCCGGGACCGACAGCCTACCCATCAAGAAGGCTACTAGCCACCCCAGCACCCTAGAACGCACCAGAAACCGGGCCTTGCTCGAGCAATACCAAGAAGAGAACGGCGGGGCCAAGACAGCGAGTCGTTATCTAGTTCATTGCGAACCATTAGTGGTGACTTGGCTGTTACAATCACATAGTTTTAACTCATCCCTGGAGAATTTTGTAGTTATTCACTCTGTTCAATTTGTTTGCGAGATGGGAGATCCAGGACTCATTTACGGGTAAATATATGACAGCTCTTTGCCCTATTGAAAGAGTACGGAAGAGAGATTAGAAATCCGGAAGTGAGAGGGTGTGAGAAGAAAGAGAATATTGGGAAGAAATGAGAAATAGCAGGGAGGATAGAAGGGAGAAATAAAAGGGAGGGAAAAGAACAGACTCAAAGTGGAGAGAACAGGACAGGGAGAAGCGAAAAGAAGATAAGAGGACAAGAAAAGAAGTATGTGGGAGCCCATTTGATTCGTTCACATAATAATATTGTTTGTTCACCCATAAGAAAAGAGAGCAGAATAGGGAGTAGCGACTGGTCAGAAAACAGGAAACCATTCTCGGGCACAGAAGCTCCAGTTGCGAATTCCAGGAACAGTACGGACGAAGAGGTGGAGGGGCATTAGAAGGTACTCAGCTCACACTATAGCAGAGCCCTATTGACTCTTAACCCGGTGATACTATGGCAGAAAAAAGTAAATTATGATGGTTCTGGCACCACCACTCAGCGCGCACTAGAGGGCAATTATAAAGCCATAGACCCAGTCTACCCTTCTACCGGTATACACACTACCGTCGGCGATCTCGCCCCCGCATCTAACCGCTGGGGAAGCCACGATCAGATTAGGAGGCTAGATCAACACGCACCAAAAGGGAGCAAGGAGGTAGTTTCCCGGGAGCACACTAAGTCCATCAAACTCGCTGGCTTCCGGCCGGCCGACAAAGTCAGCACAAAGAGACAACATATAACATCCGCAAGGGACACCCACTGAGCGGACTCACGAGGGGTTCTACAAAACTCCGTGAGAACAAAAACTCACTACATTGGAATGCATTAGGAAGTTGACGGCGCTATGAGAGAAACGATGCCATCGGGAGAGGGGGAGTCAGTAAATTTACTGGCTTATCATCCTATTGAAGAATACAGAAGAAAGGTTAGAAGTCCAGAAGTAAGTGGCGGTTGGGGGAAGTAAGGAGTATTAGGGAGACATGAGAAGTATCGAAGAGAATAGAGACAAGGAGAAGGAACCGGAGGTGACTAAAACAGAAGAGAAGAGAGGGCATAGAAGGAGAAAACAGGAGAGAAAAAATTGAGAAAAGAAGGACAGGAATTTTCTAAATTGTGTATATAAGGTTGCCTGTTCACCCCTAGTTAGGGTAGGGAGAATAGTCACAGTAGTGAGAGCAAAATTCAAGATCCTATCAAAGGCCTAAAGTTTCCAGCGCGAAATGCCCACATAGTGTGCAGGACAAGGAGGCAGGCCATATCCGGAATACCGAACCACCAGATAAGGCTGTATGTGCAACTGGACAGGTACTTATACCTTGGTTTCTGAAGTGGGGATTCCAACCAGGCAGGCGAAAACATCTCCTAGATGACCAATTCCCACGCGTTTCATCCGGGCCAGCGGGGTATCTAGAACAGTGGAGGGGGAGTTCGTGTTATTTGAAAAACTAGGGAAGCTCACTCTCATTCATGTGAGGGGATCCACCTCGATTCATATTCGTAAGCAGTATTAACACTTTGAGTGGCCTATCTTGTGGTCACACATCTTGATCGCATCTTTGTCCTCTCCTACATCACTACCAAGATGATACATATGGTATGAAAGCGACATACTCCGCCTCCATTTCCCAGCTTAACTCCAAGCCCATACCCCCTTCTATTCCTCTTTATTTTCCCTTCAGTGCCCTTTTTACTTTCTTACGCCTTTACAACTGGCCCTGCTTTCCCCCCCTCTAGGTATACTTTTTACTGCAGCACATCCCCCGGTTCGGCAGGTAAATTGTATGTAGGCACGGAGAGTAAGATTTCTCGGAATTTCATACGATTCCAAAATTCGAGAATTCAGTAGTGACAAAGATTTTGTACTATTCAGAGGAGTATGATATCCGGTTCTGAACAAACAGAGTGGGGTGCGAGTGTACATTTGTGGAGTGTCGATGAGTGTAAATCAGTAAATCTAGGAGGGTGAACCCTGTTGTGCTGTCTTCCTCTCACACTTATATAATTATCATAGATATCTAGCCACTGTCCATAGACCGAAAAACTCACTTCTATACACCTCCGAATGGACCGCGCAACTATGCAAGTCCACCACCAGCGCTAAACAGACTTGATACTAGCAGAACCGACGATACCGGGTGTTGCCCCCATCCGTTACCCTAAGGCCCCTCTATTGCCGTATTTGGTTGAAATTGGCTGCTTCCATCTTCTAGAGTACTGGTTTAACAATGCTAGTTTCCCTCCCATGATTTTGAGCTCAACTAATACCCAGCCGATCTGCTCACCCGGATGCCGAGAACCGCCAGGTACCGCAATTTCCCGCTCTATGACGGAGGCTCTTGTTCCGATCCATGCAACCCATCCACAGAGCTCAGATGATCATCCCCAAGGCATCAGCGTTGCGTAATAGGAGACTACCTTGACTTCACGGGGTAGACATGTCTCTGCAAGCCTGAAAGTTTGTATGGTGAGTGTATGGAGCGGAGTGATAAGTAGAAAAAGAGAAAGTAGATTGAGAGCTGGAGAAGTGTAGGGTTTTCGGTACCGCCAGAGACAGCTGCTGTAGGTTGTCGCCGGGAGCGCGCCTCCTTATTGATTGCTGGTGCAAATACGGGTCAGTGATATAGATACATCTACAAGTCCCAGGCAAGAAGTATTCGAAAATACGAGTTGTGACTTTGTCTGTGCGCTCATACACGCACGGACTTTCTGCCATATATTTTACGAACCCCTGTTTTCGAATACTTCTTGCCTGGGACGTGTAGGAGAGGGACCTATCGGCTGTGCCGCCAAAGGTGTCCATGCAATCGGTCATAGCGCACCCTCTGTCCATCTACAGGCCCGACTGTATCCTGTTGGCCGTTTGCTAAATTCTGTCACGCATCGGGCAACTACACGTGTAACTAAGGTGAAACTTGAGAGAACAGTCTGATACTAATGCGGGCGGTTCGGAATATGGTGACACAATGGCTAAACATGCGGCTCTGTAAGACCATGCGGCTAATATTAGCCCCGGCTACACGGCTCACTATGCTACGATACTGGTATGATACCGGTACACGATTACTGGTACATGTGTGCGGCAGAGAGATACCGATAGATCCGTCGGGTGAAGAATGATAAAATTAACGCGTTTGATAAGAACATACCGGCAGGTTGTACTCGTATCATACAAGCGGTATAAATCCCACGAGATTCGGGTGGCGTACCGTCCGTATCGGATGAACTCCCGCGATTCCACTTTTCAACCGTCCGATCCTCCGTGTATGAGGGAGGCACGAGAGCCAGCCCTCCACCCTGACCTGCTCCCAGGGATTGTCTTAACAGGAGTGAGTCCCGGGGGGGGGGGGCGAATGCAAAGGAGAAGCCTGTTGAGGGGGCTATAGCTAACTTGGATTGGGGTAAAGGTGTACTCGTACCAGTACAGTGCGCGAGGAGCAATAAGGGAGGCGGTTGCGTCCAAAAATCATCGAAGGACCTGGGATTCGTTTTTCGAGCCTAGGGCTCTAAATTTACAACAGGATAGGACCCCTTCTAGAGAGACGATTGTCATCCACGCGCGTTTCATGAGTATCCGGACACATTGACGCTGAGGCTCTCCGAAGGTACAGTACAAAGCCTTAGCACCAAGGCCCCTGAATATCTTGAAATTCACTAGCATTTCTAGTATTCCCTAGGGAAAATAGGCCTGTTAGATTCAAATTCGCCGGTAGGATTGCCGCTTGAACTAGGATTTTTGGTAATCCACTACGCCCCTAAGCGAGTAATGATATGTGCATGTTGGTGGAAAAAATCACAAGACTTTAGGACTACCGGTGCTGTACGGTACGCTTGATGTGAAATGACTGCTACGGTATATTTGTACTTGCGCTAGTACAACAGATAATCGACCCATGTAAGCCTGAGAATTCGGGGTGACGGGATTGACGGCCCCTGGAAGGAATCCGGAGGGGATAAGAGGCGACGTTGGCATATTTTCATAGCGGCTCGGTTTTGTGAAGGTTGACCTAACATACCCCCCCTCAGTTCAGATCTGAAAGTTTCAGGGATGTAGGAAGTATTATGTAAGGGATAATCAAGTACGGCTCAGTAGGGTATCCCCCGGAATAATCGAACCTCGTGCTACGCAAGATATCCAAACTTTCTCCCCGCTACATTAGGAGGCGCAGGAGCTTACCGCCGTACGTGTCACACTTGTAGTATCATATGATATGCATTGCTACATGGTATTCGCTTGACATTTACCGGTGGCATACCGGTGGTTATTATGCCAGGCCCGTGCGACGTCCGCCATCACCTCTCCCGCTTCAATCAGGGATTCCCACAGATGCTTCCACCGCCCTTGTCTGCGCTGAGGCGAGCCGGCTGGCTTCCACGGCCCTCACGAAATTACAAATTACAAATATGATCGCTGCGATACAGGAATAGTAGGCTGGTACGGTATTCCAAAATGCGGAGCTACCGTTATGATGTTGTTGGGAGGTTGTTACCAACTTAT